ATTATTGGCCCAACTAGAAGCACACAATCAATCGCAAATTTTGGAACTACAACTTGATAATAAAAAACTTAAAGCTCAACTGGAAAACAAAGAAAGGAACAGTAAAAGGTGGATTTTTATAAATTAAAATTTTTCAGAAATTTTTTGCTAATATTTAGAGTTATTATTAGTAATTTTTAAATAATTTTCCTCGAACTTTGTTCTTTTCAGAGCGCATTGGAGTTTCTTTAAATTTCTAATTCTTCTACATCTATAATATTTAGAATTATTTTTTAATTTTCTTTTTAATTTTCGAAATTTTCCAATTCTATAAATTATACATTATTTAAAAGATTCACAAACATATTGTGAATAAACGGGGCAATTTTCTTATATTTGTTTTTTTTCAAAAAAAAACTCTTTCATCTTCGCTAACATTTATTCCTTTTCATTCTTTTATTTATTAAAACATTAATTTTTATCTAATATTTTTAAAGTTGCTTTGTTGGCATTTTTTGTGAATATAAAAATAATTATTATTCAAAGTTAAGGCTAACGATCATTTTGAAAATTACTTTTCTTTCTTTTTATTATTTGTGGAAAATAATGAAAGAAATTCTTTAGAAACACATTTTCAGATTTCCAAAACTTAAGTGAATAATTGTAAAAAGTTTACTGAAAAGATTACTTTCTTATTTAATTTCTTAATAACACAGATATTTTTCAAAAGAATATTATAATTAGAATAATTTTTAAGGTGTTTTTAAGGTGTCTCCTTAATTCTCCACGATTACCTTAATTAAGAGATAAGAAAAAGTTTTTGTAAGCGGACGGGTTTGAATTCTTTTATCACATCGATTGCCTCTCAAAACTTTGCTCTAACTATTTAACTAATTTTCTAAAAATTATTTTCAGTGCTAATCCAGCTGAATTATTCGAAATTAGAAAAGAACTTGCAGAAAAGGAAAAAATTCTAACAGATAAAGACGAAAATATTAAAAATTTGTTTATCAAACTGGAAACAGCAAACAAAAAAGTAGAAGAAAATACTGAGCGTTTTCAGAAAGAACAACAAAATGTTGAAAAATTAAAACATCAATTAGTTGAATTTAAAAGGACAAATGTGCCATTAAAAACTCATCAAACATTGATGGAACGATTGGAAGGAGTTGAACAAAAAGTTAATTTTTTGACAGTTTCCTGATTTTGATTTATATTTTTGGGCAAATATTTAGTAACACAAATAGTATAGCTTAGATAGTAGTTTGATTAAGCATCTTTACTAAATAATTTTTATTATGAAAATTTAATTTAAAAAAATTAAATTACAGAACCAAGAATTGGAAAGGCATCTAACAGAGGAGAAAGAACAATATGAACTAATTAAAGATGAAAAAGATGAAGTTGAAAATCAACTTCAAAAAATGTGTATACAACAACGAGATATTCGTGCCGAGTTAGACTCAATTAAAGAAAAACACCAAACAGAGATTAATCAATGGGAAAAACAGAAAAAATCCTTTGAAGCTGAAAAATCAGCCCTTAAAATTCGTTTGGAATTACTTGAAAATAAAGAACAAGCATTAATTGTTGCTGAACAAAATGCAGAAAATCTAACAAGAAAATTAGTTGATTTACAAAAAGATTTGGCTCAATCAGAGGCAAAGAGAGAATTTTCTGTAGAAGAATTAGAAAAAGAAAAACAACAATTAAATGCAGAAATTAGAAAAGGACAACGTTTTAGAGAGGAATTGGCAACTGAAAGGGGACGACTTAGAGATTTATTAGAAAGACTAAGATCTGGCAAGTTGTATTTTGGAGTTCAAATAATTTTTAAAAATCTGAGACAGTTGAAGTAGTGAAGGATTATTCCAAATTGCCCAATGTGTACCTCCTTTCTAAATTATAGAAAGAGTTTTGCAAAAGTTTAGCCACCGGGGCATCGATTCTCTTTTATCATTTTAGATCGTTTATCCACCGCCTAAGCGTTTTAAATTCTCTAGGTTAATCATCCTACATTAATTAAAATCAATTTTAAGATTTTATGTAACAGAAATAGTAGAGGGAAATAAGTAAGGGGAATTAGTAAGATAGAAACAATAAAAAGAACATCGGGTAGATCTGGAAGAAACTAAAATTCAATGATATTATATCACACCTCTGGGAGATTATAAAAGAGATAAGAGGAGGTTATGAGGTATTCTAAAATAAACAATTGGATATGGGGGGAGAAAAAGAAATTAATAACTTGAAAACTATAAATTATAGCAATTATAAGTATTAATCCTTTTAGTTTGTTTAATGGCAATTAATTCTTCTGATAATTGTTGTCTTGAACCAAACTGCTTAAATGATGATATTCAATTAATTGCTGTTATTGATGATCTTTTAATGAAAGCTTTGAGTTCTGCCAGACATGAAGCTGATTCTTTAAGAATACAACAACAAAAACAGATTAGAGAATTGGACGATCTCAAAAGAGATATTCAAAGTTTAAGACGTACTGGGCATGAATTAAATGCTAGTGATGATAAATTATTAGTAGAGAATAGAAATATTAAAGAACAAGTAAGGAGGAGAAGAAAAAATATTTTCCTGAAAATTAAATTATAATTTAAAAAAGGTAATTCTGTTACAAGAACGCCTTCAAAAAGCTCATTCAGACGAATGTACTCGTGCAGCTGAACTTTTGGCTGCTAAACGTGAAATTGAGGAATTACAACAAAAATCGGTATTTGAAAAAAATTTTGCCGAGGATTTTTAAAATAAAATAAATGTTCAGTTCATAACTTCACGCCAAACAGCAGAATTAGCAAGTTTGCAAATTGCTATTAAAAATAAAGACAAACAAGAAGAACAACATAAACAAGAATTAGCTGCTGCTCGTTTACAGGCTGAGACAGCAATAAAAGCAAATTCAGAGTCTCTCAAGAGATTAGAATCTTTGGAATTAATACATAGGTGATTTAAATTCTAAATTAAATTTAAAAAGTTGCAGATTTTAATTGAATCTTATAGGAACCCGTAAATATACAATACTTTCCCCCTATCCTTTTCTCTAGTCTCAGTTTTTAATAAAAGCCATTTTCAGCGCTCTAGCCTCAGACCATGATCGTTTACAAAATTTGCATCAAATGCTTAGCAGCGATTATGATCGTGTAATAACTCTTCAAAAGAAATTGAAAGGAGAAAAGGTTGAGAAAGCAATATTTTTATATAAAAATTATTTTTTAGTCTTTAAATGAACAAACACTTAAAGCTGATTTTCTAAGAGAAAGATCTAATTTAGAACTAGAATTAGAGAAAGAGAGAACAGAACGCCAACGGGAAGTTCGCAAAGTTTCTGAACTTGAAATTGAATTGGATCGTGTTAATCGAGAATTGAATGAATTAAAGTAAATTTCTAAAAAAAAATTGGGAAAAAATTTTTTATTTTGTTAGAAGAGACCAAAATTCTGCTGCCAATCGAAGCGATACTTGTTTGGACGAATTACGACGTTTACGAATTTCAGAATGTGCACAAAAATCAACAATTTGTAATTTAAATGTAATTATTCAACAATTAAATAATGCTTTGACTGAAAAGGATTTGGAATTGGCTAATTTAAGACGTCAAGTGGAGGTAGTAAATGGGAATTTCCTCCCATAATAATTTATTGATAAAATATGTTTCGACAATATTGATAAGTACATACTGGGAACTCTCATTTATTCTTCTCCTAACTTAAAAATTAACTTTAATTTTTAAAGATGTTGAGACAATACACTGGAGATGAAAATCGAACATTAATTCGTCAGATTGAACTACTTTTAGTTCAAAATCAACAATTACATAATCGTTCAGATGCTTTTTATAATGAACAAAAAGAATTACAAGAAAAACTTCAACATTTAAGAAGACATAAAGAAAAATTGGAAGAAAAAATAATGGAACAATATAAAGCTATGGATTCTCGTAAACTTGAAAGGCCAACTTTCATGAAAAGAGCAGCTAAAGCATTAATTGCTAAGGCAAAAGAAAATATTTAAATTCAAATTAAATGGTTTCAAAATAATTTTTAGAGTCCAAGCCGTAAAGGAAAGGTCGGGAAAGACGGCAACTCTGCTTCTGATAAATCTGAAGAAAGTTCAATTTACTCGACAGAAAATGAACTTTTAAATGTTGGCGGCCATAGAACACCTACAGTTGGCAGCCCTCCTCCACCTCCTCCATGTCCCGGACCGACAACTTTATCAGAGAATTCAAATGGCTTTTCAAATGGAACTTATTGTTTGTTATATTATTGTTATCTCATTCATCTAGTAGTCAACTTAATTTTTAGCTTTTCATCATTCACAAAATGCATCAAATGGCAATCAAAACCACCATCAACAACAAAATCAACCTCACCAAAATAATCATTATCATTCTCCAGCCAATTCCCCTTTACAAGCTCGTAAGCATTCTTCATTCACAACACAATCCACTAAAACACAAAATTTTGGAAAAGCACCACAAAGCACTAATATTGGAGTACCTCCTGTTCCTCCGCACAAGCACAGCACAAATAATCAATCCCCTTTACGTTGCCCAAAACCACCACCATTAATTTTACACAACCGTCAACAAAGTTCTGATTCTAATAATTCACTTATACCAAAAGAAACTTCCATAAAAACTCCAACACAAAATTCTTCCATGGTCCAACGTTTTTTTCAACGTTCTTCTTTGCTTCGTCGTTCAACTCCTGTACAGCAGCGACGTCCAATATTAACACCAAGGCCTTCTTTAACAATAACTGAAGAAGGAAATGATGCAAGCTTTCTCCGTCCTTCATCTGTGGCCATTCATCTACCTTCAAATTATGCTCCAGTTTCAACTCCCAATCCTTCACTTAACACACGAGATTTACCTGAAGGAAAAGCTGATATGTTTTCAGCTTCTTCCCCTGCCAATCCTTCTTCTAATTCCTCCTCAACCTCCTCAGCACCTTTGGCATTGCCTCGACTTTTACAATGTCGTGAGCGGGCTAGAAGTACTTATGAAAATGTTTGAAAAGGAGGAAAAATTTATTAAAATTTCTCTCTTTTGCCTGAATTTTTTATATATCAAAGAAAATTCTATCCCTGGCACTTGATATCTTTTTTCACTTTGTATAGTATTTGTGATTATATGTACGTGATATGTAATATTACATGTTAAACTAAAATATATAAATATTTGTACGTTTTTTTGTTTTAACCTTGTTTGTATATTAATTACACACACTGACACACACTTTTTTACTTTAAAAATTAGGATTTAAAATAGACTTTTAACAGAAATATTTCCTCATTCTCGTGCTGCTTCTACTGCTACAGCTTGCTCTTCAAGCCTTTATTCCTCAATTAGTAGTAATTTCTATAATCAACAACAAAACATTGACCGTCCTCGCATTATAGAACAATCTTCCCATTCAGCTAATGGCTCTAATAATTTTAATTCTCCAATAATGTTAATGCGTGCTAGGAATGGCAGAATTGGCGGATCTCTGCGATATCCTCCTTCTAGTACACCTCCAATGGCACGATCTTTCCCAGCGCCTCCTTGGCGCAATTCTTCTATAAATGGACGAAAACAGGAAGAATTTGTCAAATCTACGAATCAAAATGATTCAAATATTCAAAAGTTACCAGCTTGTTGTAAAGTTATGCAAGCTGATGTTCTTCCAGAAGAAGGTGAATTAATATTTTAAATCTTAAAGTGGATTTATGTATTTCTAAAAAATACAAGGAAAGGACCAGTCATTTCAAGTACCAATCACAAAATTATTCGTTTAAAATCAATTGAACTTCTTAAAATTAATTGCCTAATTTATTTAAACAGAGGAGCGCGTAATTAATCGAATGACTCAATCTGTACTTCCCAATCATCAGAAAACCCAAATTCAACAACCACGTATTATATCCCAATCTTCTACCACAAGTTTATTACCTAAAAGAGCTCCTCCTCTCCTTTCTACTCAAAATAATCAACAACAATTTACTAATCGTCCACCACCTCCTCCATATCCAGGAAATTCTTCAGTTCATTCAATTAATGCGGGACAGTCAAATAAAGTTTTTGATGATTTTAGAGTCAATGGAATTGGACAAACAAATGTAAAAAAATTAATCTAATTTTTTTATTATAAAAATCGTTTTATTTTTTATTTAAATAACCCCAAAAATTTTTGCAGAATTTAAACAAAAACAACAACCATAAAGTGACGTGTTCTCCTAATATTCATTGCAATGATGATAATAACAATAATAATTTAATTCCTTGCGATACTTCCACCCCAAAATCTGTTGTAGACTCTCCAAATTCATCAATAAAAAATTTTCATTACCAACCACATACACAACTAGTAAATAATATACCATCGCCAATTGAATTTTCACGTGCTAATAATGTGAATGAATTGAAAAAAGGTGCAAAATAAATATTTTTTATTTGTAATATTTTTTAATTCAAATTTAATTTACTAAATATTTTAATTTACGATTAATTACAATGGAACTTCGAATTTATATACCCCTCAATTTTTGATACTTTTTTAAAATTTCATTAGCCTCTGAGCGGGAGGGGTTTGGGTTAATAATCAAAACATTTAATTTTAAATATGATTTTTCATCATCAAAAGGGTATTTAAAATTGAGGTCCAATTATACTTTTAAAATCTAACAATTTTTAATTTTAGTAGATTTATCCCCTTCCACTCCTCAACCTTCTAGAAATGTACTTTGCTTGGATACTAAAAAGTCTCTCGTTGTTCCTAACAAAGATTCTCAAAAAATTACAGAGAATTTAAATATAGAACGTCCTGAACGTGTTCCAAGTATTTATGAAAATGTATCAAAAAATGGAGAAAATTCTGAAATTAATGAAAAAGAAATTAAAGAAGAATCAAATAAAACAATAGAAAAACCATCTTCTGATGTAGGCGAGAGAAGAGGAGATAAAAGAGCTATTTGGTATGAATTGGGTTGCGTTTGAGATTAAAGATTAATTTTATTAATTCATTAATTCGCAAAATAAATTCCTATGATTTACATTTTCCTTTCAATTTTTATTTTAATTTTATTTTAATTTTTTATAATTTATTTTAGCTTTCATCAATTTATTTAAGGAATTCTTAAATCCTGAAATTCTTTAATTTTAAAATTCTAGCAAATAATCACAAAAAAATTTCATTGAAATTATCGAAAATTAATTAAAAAAATTTAAATGTTAAGTTCTGATAAGCCCACAAGCTTAATTTTCTAACAATTTTAAACATGTGAATCCCTCATTTTTATTTTTTGATATAATCACTGCCTTCCCTTTACACGCAAATTATTTTACTTTAAAAACTTTTGTCGGCCTTTCCTTTTGTAATTTTTCTAATAATTTGTAATAATTTACTTGAAAATATAAATATATATTTAATAAATTTTTTCTTTCTTTTTAATTAATTACCATAAAATATTTAAATTCAACAATTTAAAATTTAACAAATAGCTTGGAAATTCTTGATTATAATTGCTTTCCCAACTTTTAAATTAAATAAAATAATGTTTTTTATTAAAATAATAACATTTTTGATTTATTTCCTCATCCATTCTCCTCGAACCATATTTATTCCAAAGACGGTATGGCCCATCAAAAGGGTCAAAAACACTAAATAAAGGCTTTGGAGGTATTTCGTACCTTTAATTTTATAATTTGATCATTTTAAAAATAATACATTATATTTATTTACATATAGTCGTAATCAAATGACCAATAACCAACACGACTTTCATTGGAAAAATTTCTAAAAAAATTTTTTTAATATTTAAAATTTAATGTTTTATTTAACTAACGTTCTGTGGTAAGGCACAGCAATCGGAACATTTTTATAAATTGGTGTCACAGAGAAACGTTTGTCGTAAATAATTCGGTCACACTTTTTGAAGGAATAAATATTAAAAAAATATTTTTTTAATTACCATAAAGCGCTCTCTCCACATTTTTGAAGGCCAACCAATTCGATAATTAGGTGATTTGTAATAATAATATGCCCATGTAGGTATATGCATCCCTAGGGCATCAGCTAATGTTGAGGGGCCGGAAATTGACAAAGAACGAGTTAAAGGCTTTAAATAAATTTTTTTTTAATTTATTTATTTAGAAAATATTTTTTACCACTCCCAAGGTTGCTGGTTTAGTCGAAACAATTTCTGCACGTTGCAAATTAGCACAAGATGGCCATTTTTGTATTTTAAGTCTTTTTTCATCATCATCTTTTGAAATATTAGCCATTTCCTGAAGAATAATTAATTCAAATATATTTTGGATTTTTTAAAGTTTTTGCAAATAAAAATAAATAAAAGCGTGTAATTCTTTAAAGTAGAACAAACATTTATTTATTTACTTTTATTTTAACTTCAAGTATCTGGTAACATATTTTCTTTCATTTTTTTAACTCAAAGTATTTTAGAAAATAATTTTTCTTTTGTTTTAAACATATGTTTAAATATATATTTAGTTAAAGTTACACAAACACACAAACATTCTTTGCTTCAATTAAAATATTTTATTTTATTTTCTGTTCCTTCCACTCAACAATTATTTACTTTCTTATTAATTAATTTTATTTGGAGAAGCTTTAACATGAATTATTTTAAAATATTTGCGCTAATAATTAAACTTAAATTATAATTAAAGATAATTTCTGGAATATTTTTTTACTAATTATTTATTTAATACTACATACATATTTAATCCTATTAAAAATAATATACCAAATTATTTATTTTAATTTAAATATTTTTATGTAAAATATTATTTTTGGCTTTATTTTTTAAAGGGGTATAAATTTTTCAAATTTAATGTTTTTTTAGTTTATAAAATGTTTTTTCCAACCTCATAATTTTTATTTAAAATCTTAAATAAAATTCAAAAAATATATTTAAATTATTTATTTATTTATTTAAAATTAACTTCCTCGAAAATATTTCCGTTTTATTTTCTAATAATAAATACTTTAATTTAAATAAATCCTTTACTCTTTTATTTTATTTTTATATAAATTCAAGAATTTCATCATTTTTGTTTTTCCATTTGCCAAAAAAATTTCCGGAATTTAATATTATTTTTTTATTTATTTTAATTTTTAATTATTCATCACTGAAATTGGATCAGTTATTTTTCATTCTTTTTTTTCTCAACATTCCATTTGTTCTCCCAAAAATTCATTAAATTATATTAAAAATACCTTTTATTTGGACTGCCGGTATTTTGGGAATGTCGCGACATACTAAAATAAATAAATATATATATTATTTCCAAAATAATATTTTTACTAAAACCCCCAACAAGTCCCTTATAAATGGCGTCATTTTGTTGTGAATGAGAAAAAAAAATGTGGAAGCTAAATATAGCTAAATAAATATTTATTTATTTATTATTATTTATAAGTAAGATGTCTTTTTAACCAAACACAAGTAAATACATAAATTGTTTTTAAAATATAATAAAGTAACAGAAAAAAAAGATTTCTAATTTTATATTTAAAGTGCTCATTTATTTTTATTTTTAAAAAGGCTTCCTCCCAAATAAATATTAAATCGACGTCTAGTGCTTCTTATTACTTATATTTTACATTCCAGTGTTTTATATCTTTGTATAAGATAATCTTCTGTTTAAATAAACTTTTTCTAATTTTTTATAATTTATTAATATGACAGAAAAATTTTTTATTTAATTCTAAGAAATTTATATTTATTTAAATAAATATAAAATTAAAATTAGTATCTTACAAATTAGAGACCTTCTAATTTATTTATTATCTAAAAATTCTGTTTTTATTAAATCATAGCAAATCAATTTTTATAAGAATCATTTGATAAATTTAAATACAAATTTAGATGTTTAATTATTAATTATAAAATATTTTAAAAATTTGCAAAGTTTGCACGTTATATAAATAAATAGCAATTAAGTATATAATTCTTTACATTTTTATACTAGATATAAGTAAATATATTTTGCATTTTAATTTATAAAGATTTATCGAAAACATTTTTAAATTCAAAATTGAGATGGATTTGTAAATAAGAAGTTATTTTTTAAAATTTCAATGTTTATTAATATTAAATAAGAGATTTAAAAGTTTGCATTTTTAAGGTAGATAAAAAATAAAATACTAATTAAATAATTAATTTATATATTCTATCTAAAGTTTTCCTGTTTGTTTTCCATTTAGGTACCTCATATGTCTAATATCAAAAAAATATTTTTTAATTATTAATCCTTAAATTTTATATAATATTCTTCTTTACAGTCCCATTTACTTATCATTGATTTATTTTCATTCATTATTTAAATAAAGCGGATTAAAAGACGGTAAAAAAAGATTAGTATTTTTTTTCTTAGAAAATATCTTTTAAAATTTAACTGTAATATTTACTATATAAATATAAAATTAAATATTTTTTAAATATTTTTTTCAAAGATTTAATTAGTATATTTTGACATTAATTCCTTTTTATTTTAAATAACAATTTTATTTTTTGTGAAATTTTAGAATAAATTTTGGTATTTTCCATTAAATATTTAAAAATAATTTTCTTTATTAATTATAGTATTTTTTTGTTAATAATAGATTAATATTTATTTAAGTAAAGGATTTGAATGTGTGTTAAATCCGGAAAATATTTTTTTATTTAAGAACCTTTTATATATTTAAATATTTTTATAAAATAAATTTTTTTTGAAAAATAAAATTGAGTTAAACAGATTTTTGACGCTTATTCTTTACTCTCATTCTTTGCGCAGCTAAACTTTTTCTTTTATTTTTACGCCCAAATATTTAATATAGTTATGATTAAATTAATTTTATTTATTTATTCTTTCTATTCAATTATTATTTTATTCATTATTTATTTAAATATAGTAGGTAAATATATTTGATATACAATTATAGGTACATATTAGTTTTATACCTACTTTTTAATGGAATTTATTGTTTTTGCCAAATTTATTTCTTAAACTATCAAAAAATTAATTTTAAACAACTTAACAATTTTTTTATCAAAAAATATTTTTTTATTTTAAAAAATATTTGACACCAATTATATTTAAATATTAATTGTTCAAAGCTCCATTTAAAGGATTTTTATACATTTTTGTTGTTTTATTCTTAAAATCTCATTTTTCTCATATGATTTCCGTTGCTTGCCAACAAAATATGAAAATGGTTTCCTGCCTTTTTATAAAATAATTTTGCCAAGTCTTTAGCGTGTATTTATTGGCCTTTACACATTTTTTGTTTTCTTTTTTTATATTTTATTCGTCAGAAAAATTAAGTATTTAGAATTACTTACATATTTGTTAAATATTTTTGTATTTAGTTAGTATATTGATGGTAAACAGAGTAGGGTTTTTTAAACAGTTTCGACAATTTTATTTCAGAGTATT